GTACCTGGGGTGTCCTACAGGTCGGGACCAGAAGGCTGGATAGACCGAATTGTGATGGCACAGTGGCTCAAGGAACTGAGGGCCATATCGTCGCTTCCCGGTGGACGACAACGCGTTTTGTACATGGACACCTGCAGTGGTCATGCTATCAGAGACCAAATCAAGTCAGCTTTGGGATCTATTTAACACAGAAGTACGGTTCCTCCCAAAGAATGCAACTGATTTAGTCCAGCCCGCGGACTCCTTTGTAATTCAAAAAAATTAAGACTGCTTGGCGTCGTCGTTGGGACGATCACAAGCTGACGATGATTGAGGATGGACTATGGATTGCTGGAGAAAACGCTTCTAGGAAGCTTGCTAACCCTGGAAAGAAATTTTTCCTGAAGCTTGCCGCAGACTCAGTCCGTGATGTGAACGTCCAGAGAGATAAAGACGGTATTAGCTTTGCTCGAAAGGGTATGGTTAGGTGTGGGCTCGGCGCTAATCTGAATGGAAAATGGGAGGAGAGGCAGCTTTTCCCGCGCTTGCAGGAAATAATCAACAAGTATCGGGACAATTTTGACGGAGCGCCGGTGAATGGAGATGAAGTTGAAGACAACGGGAAGTCAGCAGATGCACCCCTAAGGTCAACGGAGGACGTAGACAGTTGAATGCGATTGCATCTGAGCTCCAAGAGGCTCCTAGCCTTTTTGCACCGACATACACTAAATAGGTAGGTTTCATATAGTGTCACACACAGTAAACACCCCGGCTCCTATAATAGTGCATGCCCACAAATAATGTGTGTGGTACTAATTTGTGCGGACCGTCCCCAAATCAGGGCCTGAGAAATAGTATGTGTTACACTAAATACAGTACTGGGGTGTACCTGCCCGCAACAAACGCAAGCTGGTACATCGTTGTGCCGTCCGACGGATCACGTGCACCTGGGCGAATACTCGCTGAAGCGAATATTGTAGCTCGCCACAAGGATAGAATAGTTCGCAGTCGAAAGGGCGATGTGTTTCGTCTTCTTAACGGGCTGAGGGGGGCCGTTTAGAGAGGACCGCTTTTTAGAAGCTTCTACTTGTCTGTCTTCTGCGATTGCTTTAGCGGCATATGTGGCAGATCTTGTGGTGCTTCGATCCGTTGATGGACTCTGGGTAGATGAAGTGATAGGGGCGTCCATGACGCAAACCGGTACGAACCGTGCAGTATGAGACTCGTTTGTGCTGATGAGAGAGCGGAAACCCCACTTCGTTTTCCTTCAAGACGGGTCGATCCGGCACTGCCGTACAGTAATCAGGCGGATGTGAAAACTCGTGGAAAACTCACATGTCCCGAGTTTTCGGTATGCTGTGAGTTTTGCAAACTCGTCTGAAAAATTTGCAATCAGAAAATCCGAGCAAACTCGCGGCCAAAACACGTGTTTTCGCGACTTTATGGACAACGTTAATGAAATGTCGATGTTTGCGTCGGAGACCTAGTACACAAGAGCAGACAGTACACAGTACCCTTGGGTACTGTACCAAGGGTACAGCGTTAGGGGTCCTCGCATCTACTCGCGTTCGATTCGAGCATGGGCGCCATTTGGACGTCCGTTTGCTCTATACATATCCAACCGTCCTCACCCGCAGCCAGCACATTTTTTATTGCCTGCAACGAGACCAAAGCGACTGTGGCGTTCGCACTATGGTAGTCTTGTCTCATTGGCCCACGATGGGAACGGCTCATGGCGGATCGGCGAATGATAGGCTTCAGTCGTATTCTTGTCTAGCTTCATATCAGATCAATACATTTCTGCACTCATTTGCATTCGACGCCGACCGTTGCCAAGCCTCGTTTACCATCCCTACTGACAAATAACTATTCACCTCATCATCTTCAGAAAAAACCTTCTCTAGACCAGTACCCTTGGGTAGCGTGCAGCTCCTTTAATCATATTTCTCTTTCGGCGCTATCACTCTAAAGCCATTTGGAATATAACACACCACTGGGACAAAATCCAAAGTAGTGCGTCCCATTAAACAGCATTTCGAACATCGGCCACCCGGGTCAAACGTGCTTTACTCGCGTTTGACCAACATCGCTGTCAGCAGTCTTCTCTTTGGCTGCGGTGCAGATTCTTCACATGTTCCTCTCACAACACACCACTCTATTTCAACACCCCTGCTTTGTACTTCTACTGAGGGCACATATTCACATACAGGCGATCTATTTTAACTTTGACCGACCCTTCATGTTGCCTGACTGCCCAGCAGCAACCAGTTCTGACTTGTTGCAATTTATACTTTCGCCTTCATCAAATCCTTGGTACACACTGGGGGCGTGTCCGCTTGCTTCTGACACCAATCTCTCTTCGAATTTCTTCCGCCTCTGCTCGTAGCTTCTGTAATCACGATACGCCAGTTCAATCTCTTCGTTCACAATTGCTTTGGAACATGCCAAAATGAGACCGTCAAAAAATAGGCAATCCTTGCCCTCATCGTCACATCACATGAAGTGCTTCAGAAAATGTCACTTCGCCCCTTCTCGACTGGATACTACCCTTCGCGTCACTTCCATTTTTGTTATTGCGGTGGCGTTCTGCGAGTTCTCAGGTATCTCGCAGGCACTTATGGATGCATACACAACCATCCCAACTACATTTGCCGGGTACGCTACAAACGGAAGTAGACTGCGAACTGAAACTGCACTTGAATTTCAGAAAAGGGCGAGGATGGCAATTCCAGCAAGTGTCTCGCAAGACCAGGAAGGGTCTACAAAGCAAGCCCTCCCAGCTCCGTCGAGAAAAGTTCCTGACCTTGAAAATCTGTATATCAACATTGATCCCGCAATGACCATGGAGGAGTATCTTGAGAGCAAGCCGCAACCAAAGAAAACCACCCGCACAACGAAACCTCGTTTTCAGCTTGAAATGCATTGGACAGATGAAAATTTTAGGGACAAGACTTGCCGACTTCACAATGCATGTCTGGAATCTGACGGTTCTCTTCTAGTTCACCCGTGGATGAAGTCACAAGAAAGACATTTGCGAGCATGTGGGGCAAAGCGCCTTAAATACATGAAGTCTGAAGCTGACTATCAAAAGGATGGAGTCAATGACGATACCGATCTCATCGGTGTGGAGCCTTCAAGATATCACATTCCGCATTTTCTTACTGACATTCTCCCCATGATTTATTCTTCGGAGTTGTTGAGGCCACTCTTCACAAAGCCTGCTTTGATTAAATCGGTATGCGAAGAACCAGGCAACAGAAGATGCAAGAGACAAGCAATACAGGAGCAACTCAATCCCTCACTATACGCCGACCGGCGAATTTCAGCAATGCCCGTGTCTGCATGGGTACCTCAACTCGTTGCACTACTGCCGGGCGGGCCGCGAATGCATTTCGAGCGGAAGATGCTCAATAATTCTTCAAAGCCGACTTGCTTTCGTTCAATTGTAGCTTACAACAAACACGGATACTCAATGCAAGGCCGGTACTGGTTTGGAGAAATGAATCCCATGTTTCGAGAGCATGGAATAAGTCGAGGTAGCGCAAAATCGGATAAAGGCCTTGAAGAGAACAAGAAAACACAGGGATGCAAAAAGAAAATGACAATTCTCAACCGTGTCGGATGGGAGAAAAGGGCCAATTTTCTTTTGGGGCGTGACATTGTCAATGTGGACCAAGTAGTTGATCAAATAGAAAGAATAAGTCGTTTCAAGGAAAACGAAAATTTAGACCTATCAATCAGCATCGAGTACTTTGAGAACATGTCGTTTGCGGAACAAGTGGATGTGATGCAGAAGGCTGATGTGCTCCTCGGAGTCCATGGAGCGGGACTTGGAAATATGCTTTTCGCACGACAGGATGTACCGATTTTAGAAGTCCTACCGTTTGCATATTATGCCGGACCATTCGACTCAGTGGCCGGGACTTTGAATTTGGACTACTCAAGTACAATAGCTGAACCGGATACTGAGAATTTCAAGGATTGTATTCAACTGCGAGCGGACAAATTAGAGAGACCAGAAATTTCAACGAACGGGATGAAGCTTTGGGACGAGGCCGTGAAGAAGAGAAGGGAAGGAAACTGGTATCATTTGTTAGCTCATCGTTTCACGCGATCAGATTTAGTTCCAGTGAAGCTATGCGCCCGAACACAGCGGATGAAGGTGAATCCGCTCGAAACGGCGAAAAAGTTGGTTGAGATGGCGCAGGTCGTTTGTGGAAATGTTCCAGATAGGAAATCATGATGGGAAGTAGATGGATAAGAAGGGTATGAGGGCAGGAGATCATTTGAATGGGGATTAGGTTTAGAGAACGCGTTTATAGATGCACGAATGAGTGGATAAAAGCAACAACAAAGCAGTGGTTTTAGGCACTACATACGTAGAGGCCGGCTTTTGTGCGAGGAAAGATAGAAAATGTTGCCTCAAGTGCAAGGCTGTGCAGCTAAAGAGAATGGAGATAGTGCCACTGATAGCCACAACCTGAGGACCCAGGGCCTTTATACCTGGCACTTTTTCGGTGCTGTAGATTTGAATAGTTGGGATGTGTCTGTATGACAGCAAGAGGGATTTCTTTGTTTCTGTCGACAGGCAATAGTGGCGGAACATCGCGCTGTTTGAAAGACAAGCAAGGGAAAGAAACCGAGTTCGTCTGCAAAGCTGTGGCCAATGTGTTCTTGTGATCCCTTTTGAAGTCAAGTGGATGTTCAAATGCGGATACTCAGTCAAAACTCATTCTTACTGGATGATGCGCCCTTGCTGTTGTTTTCTTTGTCCTCGCTGGGCTGTACGTTTTCATCGGCCACAATGTCGTTTCGCCGTTTACACCTACCCACAAAAAATCTAAAAAAATCTAAAAAGACAGTACTGTACTGTACCAAGACTACACAATCCCTTCTTGGACTTTCTTTGGAAGAGGGCTGCGGTTTTTCCCCTCCCTCAACGTACCTTCAAAACTCTTCAAAGATAGCCCCGCCGTTTCCTCTACTGCTTTTCATCGCGCCAATTCAACTCACTCGCCCCGATGTGCCAGCCAGATGCTCTCCGGAAGCGCTCGCGACTTGTTGCCGAAGACTCTGCTGACTCCAGCGCAAAGCAACCCACCAAAACAGCCTCTGACATTTCCGATGGCTACGCCTTGACCCGCAGGGTAGTGTCATACCACGCTGCCCCGAACGATGCTTGGGTCATATACAAAGGAAGTGTATTTGACGTTACAGTCTTCCTCGAGTCTCATCCGGGGGGTGCTGACATTCTTCTCGATAAGCTCGGCACCGATGTGACAGACATAATGGCTGGTAGAGATGAAAGGCTGCATTCGCACTCTGCATTCGCTTACAAGCTTCTGGCGAAGTACAAGATAGGGGAGCTTACTGACAAGCATGAAGGAGACGTCGCTTTGGACGGCAACGTCGACCCGGAGACTGGCGAGACTCTTGTGAAATGGGATCAACCCATTTTGCACCAAGTGGGTATGCTCGGGAAAAAGTACGATCGCTGGATTCATTCATTTCCGACTACCGACCACACAGTCAAGATGTTTACAAATGATACGATCGAGAACATGACAAAGTGCCCGTGGTATGTGCCTCTTTTGTTTTGGATCCCAATCATCACTGGAGAAAGCATGCATTACGTGTACTTAATGGATGGTGTGCACAATCTCAATCTCGCATTAATCGCCGTGGTGGCATCCATAGGTGTCGTGTGCTGGTTGTTATTCGAGTATCTCTTGCATCGCTTCGTCTTCCACGTCGAGACGACAGGGTACTTCGCCAATATTTTCCATTTTCTTATACATGGGCACCATCACATCACACCTATGGACTTCGACCGCCTAGTCTTCCCACCGGTCCCAGCCTTGATCCTTGCTTTCCCGTTTTGGATTGCGGCACCGCGGGTTCTGGGCACGGAGGTGGGGTACCCATGGCTTATCGGCTTCGGTGGGGGTTACCTCATGTACGATATGACACATTTCTGGATTCATCATGGCGTGCCTAAGAATTCTTTCCTTAAGATGCAGAAGCGTCGACACGTCCATCATCACTACTTCCAACACTCGGTGAACTTTGGTATCTCAAACCCACTATTCGATGTGGTTTTTGGAACGCTTGAGGAACCGCAGCGTTAGATTGGACATCGCAAAAGCGTAGAGTAGTTGTAGCACCGGAGTTGGACCCCCCATATACACTGTTTTTGGTTGTAAATTGGTGCTTTTCGCCGCACTTGCGGCCTCCTCTAATACTTTTTCACACGAGCGCGCTTCCAAAACCGACTGGTATATGCACTTTCTGGAACTATCCATACAACCGAACAGAGAATGATGCTCGTTTCACCGACTTGCCTTGAATATGTATCAATTGTCGAGCAGCATTGCATCGTCGTTCAAAAAAAAAATATATATATATATATATATATATATATATAATACTTCTCCAAGTAGTACCAAGGGTACTGTAGATCCCTGCAGCACAGAAAAATTCTGATTTTATCGCTTGTCCAATTTAGGACTACAGTACTACCGTCACTGCATTGGGCGCAGAAGTCTGCTGAAATTAAGCTTTCGGCACCTTAATGTACTTGTACTCCTCACGTACTGCCTCCAAAAACATCGCTGAAAAAGGCATCGCTTTTGTGGAGGAGACTCTCACTCTTTGCCTACCTCTCAGCCAGCATGGCGGCGACTTTTCAAGATCTACCGGATGTTGCCATGCATCTTATTGCGCAGTATGCTTTAGGGATGTCTGAACATGGGATTCTGAAACCAGATATTGCGGCGCAGAGGACGGCGGTATCTCTGTCGAGAACATGCAAAAGGTTGCGCGTGGCGACAGCGCATGCAGTGAAGGAGCTGCATTATGGAACTTGCGAGGGCATGTGGCCCAGCGTCCGTGTGATTTCGCCATATATCTGGGAAAACCTTCGTGTTATGGATTGTACTGTCAATCGTTCAGGCCTGTTGGGCTTTCTTAAATGGCTAATGCCGGGAACGGGAATTACTTGTTTTAGACTTCGAGTTGTTGGTGACCCATATCCAGAAGCAAGGTTGTTGCAACTTGAACGGGTTTTATTGGGAAGGCTATTCACGCAATGTGGACATCGTTTAGTCGAGCTAGAGATCACTGGAATTAATTGCCAGGCTCTCCTATTCTCGGTGCTCTTTCAATGTACAAGTCTTCGCGATTTTCGTATCAGTGATTATGGCGAAGAGAGCTCTTCTACCCTCCTCAGTATGGTTATGCTTCTGTGCCTTGCGAACAGGAAATCGCTTCAATCGATTGAGTTTCCGTTTCAGATATGGCGGGATCGGATGGACAAGGTCCCTAATGGATCTGTCCTTTACGCAGCTTGTGAGGTCACGTGGGCAACACTGTGGGGTAGTTATCGCGCGGGGCTGAAAGAATCAGCAGTCAATCTTCCGTCAGATGAAACGGAATTGATTGCTTCCTTTAAAAAGGTCTCTCTTCGGATGGATGACCTCGAAATCAGCATGAAACGGAATTTGGGAGACTTTAAAACGCTAGCGCCGTTCATCGAGGCTGGCGATATCCCTGATGTAGTGTTGTGGCGGTTAATGCCCAAACTTTTACAAGTGAATAGTAGACCTGTATCGAAAAGCGGGGATGGCAGATAATAGGTCTCATCGCCTCGGTCGCTGTTACTTTGCACAACACATACCAATCAAGCTCCGACTTCTAGAAAGTTGGTGCGGACCTGTCCGAGACCCACCGTGATGAGAACCGAAGAAGGCGAACTCTCTTGACTGGCAAATTTGTTGTTTTTGTATTAGCGATATGCGTCCTAGGTTGTGGAGATAATCAAATGATTGTGGAGCTACCACTTACTTTCCGCCTTGCACTGTTCATGGAAGGGCCATTACTGCTAGTTGGGGGTCTTCTTCGACGCAGCTCTTCATATCGTTTTTCAATGAGCTGCTTTGCGGCTTGCAGCTTGTCTGTTTTCTCTATAGCCGCTCTGGCTTTTCTTTCGGCCTCATCATGTTCGCATAAGGCTTGTTGGTATTTTTGACCGAGCACGTCAAGATCGATGTTTCGCTCTAGAATAGTGCCTTCCAACTGTTCTGCCCTCGTGAGTAAGACAGTCACAAGATCTCCCGCGAATGCTGGACTCATGACTGCGATCTCGTTCTTGGAGACGTCTCGCAGTTCGTGAGTCTTCATTCGTGTGAAGTCAATAAGTGCAAGGATTTTTTGTACTAGAACGATACTTTCCTGGGTGGGATATCTGACAATGGAAGGAGTTTGAGGTTGTGCTCCATTGAGAGGTTGTTCTTTCGCTGGTGGATCTTTGTAAGGTTGATAGGAAATTCGGGAAGTAAGCCACTTGACTAAAGCATCAAACCACACTTTCTCAAAAGTTAAAATCTCTGGCCATGCACATTCGCCCTTGCCAGGGCGAACGAGCGAAGAGACGACCTTAAAATCGAGACGCTCAAAATCTGGTGAGGTAATGACATGGGAAAAGTTGGCATTCTCGGAAGCGTAGTTTTGAAGTTTGTCAACGATTTCGACGTCCTCGACATGGACCGCAAAATCAAGAATGCGTAGGCAGTTATCTGTAGATAAATTTTCAAGGCAAGAAGCGCGGGCGAGCTGGATAAGGTGGTCGACGTGAAACAGGACGCCGAAATGCCAGATCTCGAGTGCGAGAAGAACCGATGTCTTTGCGTCGCGCAACTCACCGCCGTACATGATCTCCAGGGACTCACGCACTGCAGCAGCAGAGCAGTTGCGGATGATGATCTCGTTTGCAACGCCGCGCGAAGGGTCAGACTTGGTGAGTTGCTGCTCGAACATGTCAGACACGGCAGAGAGGACGACGCGGTGGGCGCCGAGACGGGTTTCGGAGAGGGTGCCATCGTGCAAGGTTTGCTGGACATGAAAATAGACATCATAGTGCTTCTCCGTTAGTGAATCGGAGAGCATCTTCTTGAGGAGGGTTTGGGCGAACGCCATGGTTTCGTACTGGGGGGCGGGGCTTTGGCCCGTTCGGAATTGTGAGGTGAAGTAGATGTGATAGAGAGGGGATGAAGCGATACGAGCCGTGGTTGAGGGTGGGAAATAGGGATGAAGAAGCGGGATAGGAAAAGCCGAGGAAGGCGCGTGTGTCAGTCCAGCCAGCAGCTCCACTGCCGGGGTGGGGGTGGACTGGGAAGCGAAAGTGTGGCAAGTAGATGGAAGACGCGGAAAGGAAACTGTGGTTGCAGTTGGCGCATCCGCCAGATCAGCGCTTGCACGTGGCAACTATTTTGGCATAAGCAAAAAAACGGGGCGGCGAGCGAATCACTTGTCACTTGGGGGCCCGCAGAAATGCGCTCAAAACACTGTAGAAAATTGAATCACTCGCACTTTACAGCGCCTGGCCATGGTTTGGTGTCCGGGTCTTGTTAATCAGCGCACTTTCATTTCATACGGTACCACTTCGTACACGTGTACAGTACTGTACGTATATACGGTATGCTACTAATAACGGTGCCCTATGGCACGAGGGTTAAAGCTCATGGTGAAAAATACTTTTGAGTCTTCCTCCCCGTTTACCGCTGCTCCCTACCGTACCCTTGGTACTGTATATGTATTAGTGCCCGTCTTCTCATCTCATCGTTTGCAGCCGTGCTGTACACTCTTTAGGGCGCTGTACACTACATTAGTGGCGAAATGGTAATTTCTGGATGGACCTACAGTATTATTCGGCAAGAGGTCTGAGTGCTGAATTCAACAGTGCCCATAGTACAGTTGTTAGTAACGAAGAGTACAGTATGTAACAACTTGTTACATACTGTACTCTTCGAAGGGTACAGTAATAACCGCAAGTTTTCTCCCGCGGCTACTACTGTACATGTCTGCGGGCATGCCCCCGCTCCCTTCCCCGTGCCTACAGTACATTCCCAAACCACGTTTTGAGGGGTGCGCTCGGCACAGTTCCTTCTGTCCCTGCCTGACCCCATGTCCCACAGTGCGATTGATTTCCTGCGCAGCACATCCGTAAATACCACTTTAGTTGTGGAGGTCCGTTATCGCAGCTCGTGATTCCTTTTTTTCTCTTATTCGAAGTCCGCCCATCCACCCATCGCTCCCTTGTCTAAACATACAATCTAAATAAAATCATGCAGCCAGCTTCTCGTTTAACGCATCCCTCCCGTTTCGAACAAACATTCCTCCTAAATAGTTGCCTTCCGCCATTCGCATTACTCTCTTACAGCTACAGTAGATCTCTTGTGTGTCCATAGATCTCTCTTTGTCCAACGCTTCTGTGGTTCTTGACAATTCTGATACAGTACTGCCTGCGGTGCGCGGGAGGCTGGAATCTGGTAAGAGCCCTGACATGCAGGTTAATGTAAGGCTGGTACAGTACAGTACATCACTGCTACTGTAGCTACAGTAACGGTACTGTAGGACACCGCCCTGTGTTTAAATGAAGTTAATCCATTTCGACTTGCACGGACGCCGCTCCTTGTGAATTCCCTCAATTAATGCCGAAATTGCCTAGGCTGTGGATTACATATTGCTAGGGCAAGGCGTTTGTGGCGAAGCCATAATAAATAACTCAACTTTAAATAACATCGCCTCTATTCCACACACCACCACCACCGCATCGTGGATCACGTGCTACACTTCTACTTCCTCCCCACCGCATCTCTAGTGTCTGAGTGCCAGGGGATTGTTCTGAGGCCGGCGATGCCCTCATATGAGGACAGCTTTTTTTTGCAAAAATATATAAATTAAATTGAACATTCAAAAAGCCACCTTGAGCACTATTTCCTTAACGTGCTTGTCTTCGGCAATAGCATCTTGCAGAACACCGGGATAGCAGCAGCTTTGAATGCGCGTAAAGCTTAAGAATATAATGCAGATTGAGTACCATATTGCCATTTTGACCTGGCGTTTTTGGTTTCGAAGTTATTTTACATGCGGTTTTAGGGTGGTTTAAAAAAAGCTTCTTTTCTCTAGACATACCTAAAAACCACGAAGAACATGCAATTCTCACAAAGTTCTTTCTGGTCCCAAGTCAGAAGTCAAGTACGGTCGCGGAGGTATCATTTTCTTTCTTGTCGGGGAAGCGAAAGTCAGGAATAAAATAGGTCGAATACTGTACTCATGTGAGACGAAAGTCCTCACATGAGTACATGTGTCACTCAGACACTAGACCCCTGACCAACACTCCACACTATACTAACGCAGTCTTCTGCACAGTCTCAAAGAACGAAAACCGCCTGCATTTCTCCCGTAACCCCGGCATAGCTCTATTCACCGCCCCCTCCTCGTTTCTCCGCTCCCTCTCCCTCTTCTCACGCTCCCTCTCCCAGGCAACGTCCATCGCATGTAGTCTCTCATACGACACCACATGCCCCTCAATCTGCACGATCCGGCACGCCCACCTCTCGCCAAATAACACATCTCCCACTCTCACACCCTCTCCTCGTGCATCTCGCGTCCGTATCTGCGCTAGCACGCTTTTTGAGATCACTGGCGTGATCCCGAGATTGCTTGCCGGGTCCATCAATGCATCGGCGTTCGTCTGGGGGAAATCTGTCCCAGGCATATTGTAGCCGCAGGGGAGCTTTTGTTCTGTTTTGGGTCTCCGTCGACATTTTTTTGTCGCGGATGCACCTTCCGCTGTCGCATGGCCTGATGATGTGCGCGGCATTTGGTAGGCGGCTTTCTCCAGTGATAGACCGAGGATATGCCGAATATCTTCCGTTTCTATGCGCAATGGATGTGCTTCTGTCGTGAAGACATACTTTCCGCTTCGAGACCAGTGCAGTTTCCCATCAGCATCCTGCGCATTGAATACTAGGTACAAGTACTTAAGCGTCTCACTGAGCAGAAACGATGGCATGAGGTCCTCTAACACGTGCGTGGAGGTGTCCTTGACTGCAGCGTACCCGCATTTGACCTTTGTCAATTCTTCAATGGAATGCATCATTGCACCAGCTGCGCCGACCCAGGAAGTATCATTCGTTGCCCAATGGAGATAGAAAATACTCTCCGCAAGCTCAGGGCGCAAGGGGTAGTTGATCATTCCCTGCATTGGTTTCTGATCTACGACATGATATCCTTCAGGCAGACATCCATACCGCCGCCAGACTGAGTAGTGCGCACGTGCAGTGTCTGCGGCGTCTTCGTGGTCACCGAATGTCACCTGCACACCTGGCCAAAAAGCGGCAAGTGACGAAGAAGCAAGTGAAGATGTGTGTCCCGACCACATATCAGCGTCGAGATACCACGGACGTTTGTGCAGGTAGGTCTTAATAGCAGCATACGACTCGCGAAACATGGCCAGCAATCGTTCATCGCCAAAAAGAATATAGCCCTTCCACATGTACTCGTAGAAAGAGTCTACAAGACCGCCTACGCCAGCCTCAGGGGCGACCCAGTCGCCCGTGTCGATGTCAATGTGGTTGCCAACCAAGCCTGCGCGACTGGCACGTTTGTGAAGGGCACGCATAGCATTGAGCGCGGCGTTGTAGTACTTGGGATCCCCCACGTATCTGGACAAGGTGCCAAACTCCAAGATTAAACTGCCGGCTCCTGCAGTGCTGGCAATGCGAGACTCACTCTTCTCGACACCATAAGCTAGGTTGATGGCGCCAAAGGGAATACCTGTGGGAGTGTTAAACGCAGGCATGAGTCTGTCGGCAAGATCTGTAGCCAAGACCAGAAGCTTTCCGTCATACTCTGGCAGCCAAATGTCTTTCTCGAAGCCGGTGTCATCGGCGCCCTCCGTGAGTAGGCCATGGGCGGAAAGCAGCCCACCCAATACTCGAATCGTGGTTTCAAAGACGCTGACAGTATTGTCAATTTGGAAGGTGAGCGAGGTAGACACATTTCTAACGGCGTCTGCAAATCGCGACCACTGGCGCATAACGATAAAGGTGTCAAGAGTGTCGACGAGGGTGAGAGCGATGCCTGCAAATGAGTAGTCCGGGGTGCATGACAGAGGCTTGAGTTCATCAGCGGGAAAGGCGTGCGTAGCGTACGAGGTGTAGGCGTGCTCAAACATTGCTTCAGTCTGTCGCGAAAATGCGGTAATGTCATTGCGGGAAAGATTACAGCTTCGCAACGAGAGTTCAGCTGAAATTGGAGAGGCAAATAAGGAGAGTAGGAGAAGGAGCATAAGGGGGAGGATCGGGGATTCGCTCGCAGTAGAGCGGAGCATGTTGGGGAAGAGCGATGTGGGAATGGGTGGTTACATTGGATGATGGCCGAACCGCGAAGGGGATGAACAGCAAAGAGTTAACTCAAAGATCGAGAGTAACTACTGAAGGTTGCACCGTCGAGAACAGAGACTGCTTCGTTGCACCTGAACAGCGTAAGGGGTGCTTGTGAAAGGGCAACGCAGTAGGGGGCGATACGAAGCAAGATGAAGGCGCTATGGCTTGTTGATTGGCGGCGATCGTTGATTGGATGTACGCTCTGGAAAACGAATTCACCATTGGCCGTGCCCCGCCATTTCATCCAAAATGTGCATTGTAGGGTGCCGCAGGCCATCCACGTGTACATACAAGTGGTACTGCACAGAATGCAGTACGCAGCACTGCATCTCGGCCCTCCCTTCACATGCACAGTACCTGAAGGGTAACGGTACCCTTCAGGTACTGTTACCCTGAAGGGTACAAATATACTGTACCCCTGGGTAGGCACTGTAAATTACAGCTGCACTGAAAGAAGTGCAGCTAAATTGAGAATGGAACGAAACGAAAGCACCGACAGGTTGTCTCGAGAGATGTACACCGTTGTCGGATGGGCCCTCGAGGCGTGATTGGATATGTCCATGGTATGAGGCTATCGAGGGCCTATGATAGAGCAGTGGTGAGGAGAGTTGACCTCTTCAAGCGCAAGCAAAAGATTCGGCACAAGCCGGGTGGATGCTCCTCCTCCCACCATTGTTTATTGCGGAGCACTATCCTTTAAGTATGCGGATTACACGACCGTTCCGTAGAGTAAATGAGTAAATGCAAGGACACATATGAGGGCCATTCCATTCATCGTGATTGGCAATCATGCAATCACGCAATCACGCGATCACGACATTAATTTAACGTCGTTCTGCCTCGTTCCTTTCTCCAACGTGTGCTACTTGTATCTGTAAGCACATTTCCACGGCTTTGCATGTGCATGTGTTAACGCACTTCTTGCCTCATTTCACGTTTGGCATTTGAATGGGGTTTAAATCTTTTAGAATTGCAAGGAGCATTACAGGAAGTTGGAGCACAAGATTAGTTTTAAGTCGATTGTTTATTTCTTTAATGAGCATGACCATTTTTTAGGAAACGTAATATAAACAACCAACCACAAGGGAGCAGGCACCATTTATTGACGTGATTGCGTGATTGCGTGATTGCCAATCACGATGAATGGAATGGCCCTAAGTGTATTCACGTCGAGCATGATTCACAACCGTACAGTACTGATGAACTGCGTACAGTGGGTACTACGCATTAGTGCTGCCCCGTGCGAGACCCCAAAAATATGCACTATTGGGAGACGGCATTAGCAAGTGACGTTGTCACATCCATCTGCATGCACTCGGAAATTAACGTCTGCCTGCTCCGTGTTGGTTCTCTGTTGTGTTTCGCAGTGAGAAATGCGCGCTTTGCCGACCCTTGATGCAATAGAGCGTCTGGAACTTGGCACCTAGTCGCCAAAAGTTCCAGCTCTCCAAACAATTTCGCGATCTCGACGACATGGGGGACATGGGGTTCAGTCTTTCTCTCTATTGCATTTTCTGCGCTCTCATCTTCATCACTTGATTGCGTTTCAGGCGGATTCTGCACCACCTGAACCGTCTCTAAAACATCCATGGCGTCATTGGTGGCATAACAGCCGGAACCGTATGACACGTGGCACTTTTCTTGTTCGGGCGTCCGGGCCCACACTATTGGGACGGTGGCACCAACAATAGCAGCACTAATAATGCGTAGGACCCACTGTACTGATGAACAGCACAGCGGTGTCAAGGTGAATTAACTGGGCCCAGGCATGACCCAGTACGACCGAGTGCTGAGCAGTACCACCGCGCGACAAGGGAAGTTACAGTGCCTCCTACGATATAGTGCTATAGCGTGACATACCTCTAGCTATGGCACTATTGGGGGGATGGCACTATAGAAAGGAGGCTCAAATACATATTTTTGGGGACAAAGCACACTGCTAACACAAACACAACAAAGCCTGTATAACACAACTAAATAACTTCATCTTTTGAGTACTGAACCATGCCGGATGATACACGTGTGAGCGTATGATAACCTGTGCCAGACGGTGAGCCATAGCACTATATAGAGGGAAGCACTACTAAAGTAGGCACTATTGAGCGACCCCCCCTGTATTGGTTAATCTTCCGATTCTCTCTCCAAATCTCACGACACGTGTTCTACATTATTTCACACAGGTTGTCCTAGTGCTCCCGACTGCCCTAGAAGTCACGTCTGGAGCTGTGTACTCTTAGCAGAGAAAGAAGCGCAGCCACGCGTCTCTATATATAAAATGCAGTAGAGGATAGATCTGCATGCTTTTTCCGCAACACATCTTTCCTCGCCCCGCAATCTACACCTTGATCTTCACTATCCCTCCCATATGCCTGCATCGCCGCAACAAACTCGCGTCGGATGGGTCGGCACCGGCGTCATGGGGTGCGCCATGGCTAGTCATTTGATGACTGCCGGATACCCCTTAACAGTATACAACCGAACCGCATCCAAAGCTCAACCGTTAGTCGACGCTGGCGCGCGCCTCGTTTCCTGTCCACTTGAAGTAGCGCAAGCCTCCGATATTGTCTTCACTATGGTCGGCTATCCTTCCGATGTCCGTGAAGTCATCGGCGGAGGAACTGGCGTCCTAGCTGGGTTGAAGGAGGGCGGAATCGTTGTTGATCTCACAACTTCGGAGCCCGGTCTCGCTGCAGAGCTCGCAGCTCTGGCCATGAATCAAGACAAGTTTGTCATCGATGCCCCAGTCACCGGAGGTGACGTCGGCGCTAAAAAGGGAACTCTCAGTATCATGGTTGGAGGTAATGACCATGCTATCAAAGAAGTCATGCCTTTGCTCGAGTGTTTCGCGTCCACCGTCAACGTCTTTGGCGGTCCTGGAGCAGGGCAACATTGTAAGATGGCCAATCAGATTGGCATCGCCACAAGCATGTTGGGCATGTGCGAGGGCCTTATGTACGCTCATGTCGCCGGTCTCGACTTAGAGACATATCTCGCTGCTATTGCCGGCGGCGGGGCTGGCTCCTTTTCTGTTCAAAGTTACGCACCAAGGATCCTCAAGGGAGACATGCAACCTGGCTTTTACGTCGAGCATTTCGTGAAGGATCTTGGTATCGCCCTTGAGGCTTGCAAGCAACTGAAGATATCCCTTCCCGGCCTGGCACTCGCACAGCAATTGTATGTATCCCTCATGGCCTGTGGGGATGGACGATTAGGCACTCAGGCTCTCGTCCGAACCCTTGAGAGACTCAACGGTAAGGAATTACCCAAGAAGGAGGCGTTTTCGGCGTGGTAACAGTGCTCGCATAATGTCAAGCAAGTCAAACATTTGCAATTGCGTGCAGTTTGAAGACTAGCGGCAAGACTGAGGAAATACGTACGCCTTGCCGAGTGGTGGTCTAGTACATTTGTACGATTTAATTCGCAGCTTTTGGTAAAGACATAGATCCTTGAAGCACCAAGTCAACACAAACGCCCCAGTGGTCGCTTATGAACTTTCCACATGACGGAAGGCGGTCCTTGCCGACCAATTTAAGGCTTGGTACCTGAACATCAGACGTCTTCGGCCACAGCAAGAAGACTCTATCATACCTCGACTTTGGTTTGAAATCGCCTTCAAATTGGAGATTGTCATTTCGGGCCGTATCCCACGTAAATTTTTCATTGGGGTCAGCACCCGCGGCAAGCCATGCGTCTACGAATTTATCCTTCATGGCAACGCGGCGCTTCTTTTTCTGGGCTTGTCCATCCTGTTGGCGTTTCTTTTCAGCGGCCACTGTTTTGACAACATCTGCGGCTGAGACCTCTGCCTCTCTCAGATTGGTGTCACCAGCGAAAACCGTTATCACGCTGTCCTCCACAAAAGCACGCTGTTGATCAAAAATTTGAAGCAGTTGGTCCTTGCGAATATCGCTGCTCTCCTTGAGGGATTCTAAATGGCTTGTGATGAAGGCAGTGCGTAGTCCTGATGTTTTCAGTTGACCAGAGGCACAAACGACTCCGCGGTGCATACGGGAGGCTGGGAACCGCGTAGCCGTAACCTCTATAGATTCCTTTTTGAACAAGTCTGACTTTGTAAGGAGGATAGCGAAGTAAGGCAGTTCCACATCCCATTCTTGGCCCATATGGAAATCATACAACAGTGCCCCGTCTGTACACTCATCCTTTGTCTGTGAGGGAACTTGCTCTTTGCCACGAGCTTGCCCGTCCTTTATCTCAGTCTGTTTACTGTCATCTACAGCGAGGATGTGCGCACTGCTAGAATCTTTCGGCTTTCCTTTGTGTTCTAAGCTCCATCTGAGCACCGGCAAGGTCTCTTCAGTGACCTCTTGCAGCATGACGACATCAGGCTTCAATTTGCGAATCTGGGCGACGACTGCACGAGCTCGGAGTTTGATAGGCTGCGTGTCCATGTCTATGTTCCATGACAATACTCGAAGCGGTTGTGTTGTCATCTGGGTAGCGCTTTGTGATGCGGACGGCAAGCGAAGGGCGCGGACTGGAAAGGAGGGGAGTCTTCTGATCGACCGGCGACGGGTAGTCGCGATAGAGGCGATAGCTCTGCTGCGGCGGGGTAGGGAAAGGACGTACGCCATTGGCAACCAAGAATCGGGGTGGATTTGAAAATCACATAGGGGTGTGTGGGAATGGCGCTGCCTGTTAAGGTTTCTGGCCCTGTTCCATACGTGTGCACATGTCACACGTATCACCAGAGGCGCTTCGGGATCTATCTACTGTACTGTTGTGGAAAAATTAGGACAGACTGTTGAGTGCTGGTAATTAAATACACGCAGTGGCGTGTATATCTGCCTGAGCAGTTTACGTTTACATTGCGATCTCTGGGAAAGAGGGGAAAGGTCGAGTGGTTGAATCGTAGATGAGTGTAAGCTCGACCTTTGGGAATATCAGAAAGGAAACGAGCGCAGACGCGTAGAGTGCGGAATGCTACGGTCGCGGGGAGAGAACCAACTAGCGGGACGCTGGAGAATCAGCGGGATGCTGGAGGACCAGCAGGATGCTGGAGAGTAGCGGGATGCTGACTATATAAGAGAGAAGTAGTACCTCACGAGTAGAGAGGGGTAAGCTAGTGAGTGAGGAAAAAAAGGGATAAGTCCGAAGCGGTGCTTCGGGAGTACATTGTACTCATTCACTGTGTTTGTCGACCAGCGCCCGTACCACCAGACGATCTCAATATGAGCATCAATGGCAAATCCTTAACTGTACAGGGGACCCTACCCATTATTGCCGCCCCGTGCGAGACCCCAAAAATAGCACTATTGGGAGATGGCATTAGTAGGTGACGTCGTCACATCTATTTTCATGCACTAGTGCCTATCCGACCATTGTCCCCTCCCCATGTGAGGACATTTGCCCTCACATGAGGACAGTATTCGACCTATTTTATTCTTGACTTCCCCGACAAGAAAGAAAATGATACCCCCACCACCGTACTTGACTTCTGACTTGGGACCAGAAACAACTATGTGAAAATTGCATGTTCTCGGTGGTCGCTTTTAGATATGTATGGAAAAGAAGCTTTATTAAACCACCCTAAAACCGCATGTAAAATAACTTCGAAATCAAAAACGGCAGTTTAAAAAGGCAACTTAGTACTCAATCTGCATTATATTATTAAGCTTTTTGCGCATTCAAAGCTGCTATCCTGGTGTTCTGCAAGATGCTATTGCCGAAAACAAGCACGTTAAGGAAATAGTGCTCAAGGTAGCTTTTTGAATTTTTTTTGCAAAAAAAGAGCTGTCCTCATATCCCTAGCGTGCGATTTTAAGGTTCCATATATGGAACCTTAGTTTCTGGACCGTATAACTCCATCAGATTCTGGTTGGTTCAAGCGAGACTTCGCCAGATTGCTTAATGCCAGCCAGCCCATAAGCAACTGCACGGGAGCACAACAGAATTAACAATCGTAAACGTGCGTTTTCAAGGCGTGGAAGTTGGGACAATTTGACTCTCTCAGAGGTCCATTTTCAGTATTTCGCAAAAAAGGCTTTTACTGGGCCACGGCGTTTTGTAGCGACAATGTTGACCAACTTGTACAAAACCCCCTGCATCATCTCCGTTTATGACTGCCTTCGTGCACAGAACACTGCACAGTGCGAGCGATGGCAGTCTTAGCATAGGTTGGAAGTGTTTGATTTCATATGTTGAAGATGCATCTGAATCAGCTCACTGTCAGAAACGAGCTCGAATTGTGGAAGAACCTATCTGAGCAGGCATTATATGCTCAATCTGTACCCAAAGGAAGCCCTCGATATAGCCGTAAGGATCCATATATGGAACCAAACGGCATTTGAGCGATTTTCTGAAAAAGCCCTAGGTTCCATATATGGAAACCATACAAACGCTAGGGATATGAGGACAAGCCCCAGTCGGATAGACACTAGGTAATTAACGTCTGCCTGCTCCGTGTTGGTTCACTGTAGTGTTTTGCAGTGAGAAATGCGCGCTTTGCCGACCTCAGATACAATAGAGCGTCTGAAACTTGGCATTCAGTCGCCAAAACTTCCAGCTCTCCAAACAATTCCGCGATCTCAACGACAGAGGGAACAGTCCTTCTCTCTCCCTCGCCCTCTGCGCCCCCATCTTCATCACTTGATTGCGTTGTAGTTGAGTTCGTCACACCCTGAACCGTCTCAAAAACAGCATAACAGCAAAAAGCAGCATAACACCCGGACCAGTGTGACACGTGGCACTTTTTGTGTTCGTGCGCCTGGCCGGCATTAGTCAGTCGGTGACCACCTGCTGGCCTGGCGCTTACATGATGCAAATCGTGATGCATGGGGTTGTTTTCCAAGGTTCTAATACCTGAAAAAAAGCAATGAAAAATAGGTTGAGGTAACGGTCATCACCTTGGCGGCAAGAGAGCGACCGCCAATTGGCCTTCGATAGAGAATTCTTCGAGGACTTTGGGATGGAAAGCGCCAGACAACTCCCTTTCACTTTCTTAAAATTCAGTTTTGAGGCAAGAAAACGACACTCAAGAGTAAGCTGCTTTCAGATCTGCGTTCTTATTACGAAATGGCCATTTCGTTCGCTCGCAGTCCGCCCTGAAAACATGCTACACAGCGAGGTGTGCACACCGCCGTTTTCATCTTCCCGAGACTCCATTATCTCCAGCACCGTCTTCTCTCCATTTTGTGTCCTTCGCAGATCCAGTGCATTTACATATCCAGTGGTGGAACTACTCTCATTTCCCGCAGAGCTCTGAAAAGCGAGCAAACGTTTTGAATAATTCCTTTTGGGCTCTATGGACAGTCACATGCCCATAACAGTCATCAACATGCCTCTCAGGGGGGACAACAGCATTTATCGGTACTATAAGGTGCGTTTGTAATCGCCTGGAACGCTCCAGCATCGTGAGTTTTTACTTTCTTGGGCATTGGCAGACAAGATGTGGAGAGGCTATTGCAGAACAAGCTTACAAGATGGGCAAAACGACGGCTCACTGCGGTCTGTTATGGTGGCGAACGGAGATGAAATGCCCGGGGCCTCCTCTAGTTCCTTTCAAGCCGTACTTTTACAGGCTCTAGAGCGGAAAATGAGATTAAACTCGTTTATAACTTCATGGATTGTAACACCTTCATTGTATGCTCTGTGGCGCTTTACAAGTATGGTAGACACGGAACTCTTTGCAGATTGCTTCAATCACAGCGATGTACTGGAAGCGTACTGCAGCGCTGATGTGGAAGATGTCCAATTAGGTTCCAAAGGCACATGGGAAAGCAACGAGGAGATAGTTGAGGGCGGCGCAGCAAATCCTCCATTCGAAAAAGATTTAATTAACGAAGTATTACTGAAGTTTGAGAGAGGAACTAGGAGAACAACACCATTCTGCAGATGTGCACTACTTCCACTTTCGAATAGGTATAAAGTGATGTCGCATTTACACAAGTTAAACTCGGAAGGGCATCTTTTAGTGACTATTCCTCCAGGCTGCATTCCGTTCCAAAACGAGCAAGTCCTCGTTTCAGGCGACCGAGTCAAGCCTAAGCCAAACATTTACCACACTGTCCGACTGTTTGTTTGGTCCAATCGGGAGTCTCTCATGAAAAACCCACCGCCTCAAGATGTCCAAGAAATGTACTTCGTATGGACCCGCTATGCTTTATGCCAATCAGAAAAGGTCGATATACACAACGAGGCGTTTCTGCGGGCATTCCCGCTAGAGCTCCGGGGAGATTATTCTGCCTTAGACGATTTTGCCACATATCTTTCTAATTAATATGCATCACAACGAGAATGGACATTCCGCACTCGTGAGCAGTCATGAAGCTAATTGACTTCTACGGCAACTTAAGCTGGACGACCAAACACCGCGGCAAGCCGAGAAGTAGGTTTGACAGAAGTAGAAGATGTTAGAGCTGTACTTCGAAAGTTTAAGGTTCATTTCTAGACCGCGGCATAAAGCGCCATCATAAATCCGTACATCCATTCTGATCCCGAAAACTGCCTCTGCATTCTGCAGTACCATATCTCGACTCGTTTTGAGTCTTGTTTCTACAGTACATCATTCTATATCAAGTGCTCACTGTTCCAAACATGTGAACACACTTTGTCTTTGTTTCGTTTCCCTTTGGAACCACGCCATTTCCTTGTCCTTGTTCGTGCATTATGTCAGAAGCATTTGTGGTCTTAACGGAATCACACTCCCAAAACATCGGCTGCTACAATTGCTCCTCGTATGACCACCACATACAGTATCCCCTTCCGCTCTCACTTCTTTAATCCGTTTCTTCCCGATGTGGCTGCTTGTCGAAAATTCCAGTCTTTCCCCTACTGCCTAGCTACGCTCCATTCGCCATCTTTACATAGTCCCCTACAATCTCCAATTGACCCTTAAACGTTTAGAGTAAAGCGCTCACATCTTCTAGTTCTGTCAAATCTATTTCTCCAGACGAAGAGCTCTGCGAACTGGAAGCACCAAAGATTTGAACAACGTCCCTGGCAGATTGGTTGCCATCTTCATCGTCATTCTCCACTAGCTCTACCTCCACTTCTGAGGCCAGGGGCCCAGTATTAACGGACCTTTCCGCACCATGTTCAGAGAGTGAACTCTGAGCGATACAGTCAATTATTTCTAGTTCATGTCTCGTTTTAACTCTGTTGCTACAAATAAATTCATTGCATTGACATCCTATGCACTTCTTACCCTTCTTGTTACAGAGGCAACGTTTCGTAGAGCAGTCTCCCTTGCAGCGGCAGAACTGTACTGCACAGGAAATATTCCTCTGAGTACGATAAAAACAGTCCACATCCTCCAACAGCACGCCCCCATCATTTTCATATCCATAAGTGGGACTGCACCCAACTACACGAGATGGTGAAAGGTCCTTTGACTCGGACTCGCCCCAATATTTAAAAACCACGAACTGTGCCCTCTTGGCATGTAACATCAAATGTCCAACAGGTGGTAGGAGTTCGTTTGAACAGGTTGCCGAATCTGCAACAAAATTGCGCACGTCTCGCTGCCATAGTGTCGACCCGACAGAATGCTCTGACACGAACACCTCTTTTTTCAACACCTCAACATCTTTAGAGCCCTTCAAACCGCTTCGAACTTGAGTGCATAAAAATGCCATTTTGCTCTTGTACTGTAGAGAATTGCAAAGAACTCTGATGCCGCGTTTGAAAAGGAACACCAAACAAAAATATAGTGCAAACTGGTCGACATTCTGCTCAGCAGGAGTGCTCAGTCCTCCTAAATGCTGTCTAAACCAAACAAAGGCCATTAAGAATACCTCATGATCTACTCCATATATATACGGCAAATAGTCTGAGCCTGCCAGATTGTACACCAGAGCAGACGCTTCTCCGGTTAACTCTGCCTTACGAAGCACTCTCCTTGCCTCATCAACGTCATGAACAGTGTCATTCAGCACATGCTTTATACCCAAGCCATAAAGCTGTGGGTTGCACATCATAATCATGAACACATCTGTGTCATCTGATACTATCACAGAAGCACAATTTCGAGTGCATGACGAGCTACCCCTTGACGACTTCCAAACACTTAACTCCTGCACGACATAATTCGCCACCACTGTTACGAACCTGGTTTCTGACTCTCCGTGACTAATGTCCATTTCGCCGATTTCCGTCCCTCCATCTGTTCTAAAAATCAAGCACTTTGTTCTGGGAATGATAAAAAGATCATCACAAACTGCCTGCCCTTCTGCAACGCTTTTCTTTTTAAGCATCACGGAACCCTTCAGAATATTGTCGCAGTCTGGCGTATGCCTTCTTGGAATGTAGTCCCTCGGAGCGCAATTGCTGAAATCTCCTTGAAGGGAAAACATCCCATCGTGTAAATACATACAGGGCTTGAACTTTGTCTTATAGTTCGACTCACTCATAACGTCGAATGCGGCAATCGCAGCACAAAACAAATGGAGTGAAGCAAGCTCGTCTTTGTACGACCTGTCACTTAGGAGAGTTGACCACGGCACATTTAGGTTGTCTAGAAAGTCGAGTCTGTTAACTGTAGTGCTCATATTATAGCCCTCATCGCCGGTACGGGAATTTAACTTGCTCCTGCCGGCATCTCTGCGTCTCTGCTCGGCTACTTTGTGAGTAATCACTCGCGATGGGTCGTCAATGTGCAAATGTATCTGATGCAAGTATTTTGCCCTTGGTCCCTTCAGCCACGGCCGCAGGATAGTTCTCATTTTTCCTGTTACAATTTTCAGCAGTGACGTCCTTCTGTCGACTTTGTCCCCCCTGTAATGAAGTGCGTTCATAATATCTATTTGAATAGAGAAGTATGGCTCGAAGGTGGCTTCATAAAGGCTTCCAGACACGACAACATTGTCATCAGTCAATGCTAATAAGCCATTCCACGGATATACTATCTCTCGGTTGTTTCTAGTACAGTACTTCAGAAAGCGAGATTTGCTTCCATGTTTTATGGTACCAGTGAAATCGACAAAGCAATCTGCAAGTGGCGTTATGAGGTGCCGCGATTGATGAAGCTTGTCCCATCTCAAGCGCACTTCATTTACAGATCCGCGTCATTTCCGATATCCATGTGGACTGCACACTTGGTGAACTCTGAAGGACGTTGTACAAAGTCCAGTCGCATGTTGGATTGCGAGTTCTTTCGCTATCAGATGAAGTGTCTCTCGATATTGTGGTAAGGCGTGGTTTTGTCTCGCAAATGATACATGTACGTGAAATCAGTTTCCTAGGGATTGCACGCACTCTTGTAGCCCATGCTTGCAATGTGCGACTTGACTGCCCCTTTCCGTACTTTCGTGGATTGATGATGATATGCCAACCATTTTTTTTGTCACGACACATTGTCTACAGATGGACGACATGGGAATGCGAGTCGTCAATAGATGCAAAGGGGTTTTCCAGATCATCAGTATATACTCTAGCCCGCACCGTGATCTGCTGAGGTGTAAGTCTGATCGGGAGGCTCGGTCTGCGCTTGTCCGCAGTGTTACAAGCAAAGCAGCTTTCAAGCGGTGGACCATCGCGCAAGCATGGATCCGCCGTTGCGATTTCCCGAGCCTCCATTATCCACCAGCCCACGCCTCGTTTTGGGCAGCAGCAAGCAAACTTGACAACGAAGAAACTAAGACGGGTGGGGAAGGCGCCGCTTGAGGAGGGAGTGCACAAGGGAGCTGCGAATGCCAAGTTTTCGGGATAACACAAAAATGTGCTCCCACGGCTTGTCGGTGAAACATTTTCTCACAACGCACACTTGACTCGGTACCCCACAAATTTATCATACATCCCAAATTGCATCATTTTTACAGGTGGTCACCGACTGTAGTGGGAGGGTGGCATAAGTAAAAGCGGCACTAATGGGCGTCCCCCCCCCCCTGTACTGTTGTGAAGCACATGGCTGGCACACTGTAATGGACGACAGCCCGCGCTCCTACGCCATTACGACGGGCACGTCTAGATGGTAGAGAAGGCAACGAAAACTCAGAAGAGCTCGAGTAATTCGAGTACGTTCGGAAGGGCTACTCTAATTAGGAAGAATGCCCACGTCCAACATCGAGGCGTCGAATTGGTCGGGGGGCTTCGCAAGCATCTAATTACCTTGGCAGAGGGATATCCGGCAGGATATATAAACAGCATAAAACGCAGACTCATCTGGAAAAAGGGGGTCATCGGCAAGGGAATAAACAGCGGGAGTGGCAACTCCAAGGCTACACATGCCTGTCCTTCATTCGCCTGTAGAATAGCCTGCCCCCCACCACTGACAGTGACACCATGTCCAATAGCCAACATGTTACAACTGTACCCTTGGTACTGTGCTGTAAAAACGTCCACCTGCTGGGCACCTTTTCTCTGTAAAGCCCAACTCTTGTGACTCAACCTGTCGATGATGAGCTGAAGCACTGCAGTTACTGCAGTGCAAGTGCCCTCGCAAGCCTGAAATTCACTTCACCGTCCGGTGGCCAGGTGCATCTGGTGCTGTTGTTGCTGAGATTGAAATCGTTGCGAACTCGCGATGCCGCGAATAGTCGGTTTGACAGGTGGAATCGCAAGCGGCAAGACCTCGGTCGCCTCGCTCTGGAGGTCTGCCGATGTCTGCGTGATTGATGCCGATGCCATAGCTCGAGAGGTAGTAGAACCTGGCAAGCCAGCGCTTTGGCTCATCCATCGCTACTTCGGACCGTCCATCATCGCAGAGGATGGCTCGTTGAACCGTCCGGCACTTGGACGTCTTATTTTCTCCGACAAACGAGCACGAGCTGCGCTCAATCTCCGCATACATCCCTTCATCATCTTCACCATGCTTTCGCGCCTCGCGAAAGCTATTTTCCTGCAGTGGAAATCTATTGTTGTCTTAGATACTCCGCTTCTCTTCGAGTCGAAAACGCTGCTGCCTTTTTGCTCAAAGGTTGTTGTCGTCGCATGTAGCAAAGACCAACAGTTAGCTCGAATGCTTGCAAGGGATGGAAATGAGAAAGGTCTTTCTGAACATGATGCGAAGAAACGTCTTGAGAGTCAGATTCCGCTCGAAGTGAAGGTTCGTCGTGCAGATATCGTCATAGATAATTCCCAGGACGTTGACCTGTTGAAGCGTAGCGCCATGGAGGTGTTGGACCAAGTGCGGCCCTCGAATGCTGGGGAACTAGCATTCCGTGCCATCGTGTTGGGTTGTGCCGCAAAGCTTACCGGAACGATTGTTCGTGCTGTGTACAATACGGTCATTCGATAATGTCCCATGTCAGCGCTCGATGAAACAACCTAGCTTTTATTATCTCGGTCCGGAATCGATTAGAGATATCAGAAAGTAGACTCGATCTCAAAAAGGGCTGTGGACTTCAATCGCACTCAACTACAATGTGCAATGGCAGGACGTGAAGTTATTAAGATTTACAAGAAATCTGTAAGTTCTATTTGTTCTGAGCATGGACCGTTGGTTTCTGTCACGACGGCCTTCCCAGGAGATCAGAACATGTTTCATTGAAACTGACCAATGCCGATACGCTCCCTTCTATATCAGAGGTAATCCTGGACGCAATTGCCCCAACGTTGCTACCCCTCTCGCCCGGTAGAGTAAGCTCTGCTAACATGACGATTTTTGACGGACCCATAGCCACACTCGACAAGTACAACACTGGTGGTTTCGCACTCATCCGCTTTGCCACTGTGAAGATGCCACTTGAAGCTAGCTTTGTCGAAATCCAGCCCACCGACGTGATTGCATCATCGCTGAAAGTGACTGGCCCCCTGACTTCTGAAGTATCCGGAACGCTTTTCCACGCGGACAAGTAATCAGGTTTTGAAAGCAAGCCTCCTTGTTTGTTTAGGACCGCGGCAATGTGATCTGATACGTCTTCAGCAAAGTAGACAACACCTCCAGGAGAGAATTTAACAGCTATTTGCAGCAAGAACTTCTTGCTTGCATCAGCATCGCCACCGGGCCGCAAGGGGACCTGGGTTCGATAAGATGAGGATGGACCTAGGGGAGATGGCACATGGAGAGGAGCATCCGGGACTAGGCCAAACAAGTTTTTGTTGAACTGTATTGCGAAGTCTCCCATAGGGAGTGAACTTGAGTTGTGAAACTCGAGGTCTAATTCAATCGCACCAGTTCCGTCTCTAGACAGGCCACCTGTGATAAGAAGCCCTTTGCCGCGCTCGGCAGGCAGAAGGACGTTTCTTTGGGTATGCATCACGGTGTTGGTCGCTGCCTGAGGGGTGCCCGGGCTTGCCATCCCCAGACTTGATAGCAAATTACTCTCAGGATAAGACGCAGCCGGTGCGCTAGCAGCCGGTGACACGACCCCTCCCAAAATGTCATCTAAAAGGGAATCCCCGAATTGTCTCGAACTAGTTGCTGTGCTGTCCGCAGTTGCTGGAAAAGAGGAGCCCTGTGATGCCTCATCTGCTGCTTCTTCTAGACCCAGGAGGTCTTCTTCTCCCATGTCACCAGTTGGCTGCACAACAGGACCTCTTCTTCGGCCTCCTGCAAATGTTTTCGCCGGCTTGTGATATACTGCGGCAACAGATGATAGAGAGCGCAAGAGTTCTTTTTGCAATTCGTCTGGTAGCGTTCCTGTGATATCTTCGACCCCGAGTTTGTTGCTTAGCACGATTTGCTGAATTGCATCCGCACCACAGGATATCAGCCTCTGGTAAATAAATCCCCTGTCGCGCACGTCGACTGTCTCAGATTCATGTGTCGCGTAGTGAAGAACCCCTGCGCACACTTCCTCGGCGCCCGGACCGACTGCAAGGTATGCTTTCACACATGCAGTGAGCATTTGCAGCTGCACAGGGGTAGCTTCTTCATCAATGGCGTTTGTGATCACCTGTAGCATCTCGACAGTCCTAGGGAGATGACCAGCGTATTCGCCGATGATCCATACCAACGCAGCTTTCGCAACTGGGTCATCTATATGCTCGGACGCTTCACAAACTTGCGTAATGATCTCAGAGAAGCGATCGGGATATGCGCGCAAAACGTCCTTCAATACCACAGCCACCTGTTCTGTGATGTGGGCAACTTGCCGTTTCAAAAGCTCAGATAGAAATGAGACACATTTTTCAGAAACGACATCAAGTCGAATCGCAATACGAGCTATGCAGCTAATAGCCTGCTGCGCGAAAATAACATCGACATCGCTAGCGTATTCCATCAATTCTGACAATACGCTATTAGAATTTGACACACTTGAAAGGCGCACAAGAATATTGAGTTTCTCGGTCTTCACGTACAACGGATCTGCGTAGGAGGCAAAAAAGACTCGCACATTGGACGATAATAGATCGGGATATTCGCTAACCAGAAGACCTATGTTCCGTAGAGCGACGAATTGAAGTTCCGGAGGCGATGTTAGCAGGGTTATGAGCGGCGCGGCCATCTTCTTGCAGAGGAACGAACGTTTCTGGTTCGAGTCAAGGCAGGGCATAAGGTTGACAATGATGCGTACGGCGGCCAACACAACAGCGGCATTGGCGTGTTGAAGCCGTGGAATGATGCGTTCAACCATGAGATCAGCTTCCTCCGCACCAGCTGGAGTGTAGGAGGAAATGGCATCGAGGATGAAAATTTGACCCCACTCGGTGCACTCCGACATGGCTGAGAGAAAACGAGGCACCGTGGTGGAAGTGAGGGAGAGAAGGGTTGGGGTGTTTGATGCGCTTGCAATTTCTGACAAGGCCGCGACGGCATTAGAAACGACCATCGGATTTCCATCGGCAAGTAATTCTTGTAGCTCTGTTATGAAGCCCTCTTCCACTGTGACGGTAGGGTTGGTATCATACAATTTTGCAACACAGACGGCAGCGGTTTTCCTCACGTACGGGTCTTGATCTTTGAGAGCAGCATGCAGTGGATCGCATAAATATTCTGTGATCTTCTCCAACGAAATTAGTGCCATCGTGCGTATGGCGAGGGCTCGTATGAGAGGGTTTGGATCGACGGCATCCTTGATAAAAGTGTTGACGATAAGAATGGCAAGGTCTGATTTGGCTTGTGCGTAGTTGATGATGTAGAGGTAAACGAGCTTTTTCATAGAGAGATCTCCTGCTGTGTTCTTTACGACATCGGTGAAAAGAGATGAGACATCCTTTCCGAGTGTCATAGCGGCTACGGTGCGCTTGAGCGAGCTCTTTCTCTCCTTAGTCGTCGTGGCATTGAGGCCTTGCCTGAGCTCGAAAATCTCACCTTTTCGGCTGGAGTGGTACATGCGGCCGTCCGGCGCCATCACGGACAAGCAGCCAGTGGTGTCGTCCTTGGATGGTACAGGCGCAGGCGCACGTAGCGGTGAATGAAGGGAAACGATAGGATTGGGGTCAATGGACTAATGAACTGAGTTCCGAAGCACCGAGAAGAAAGGAATTATCACAGCATCGTTCCAAAACAACCCGGTTCAGAGACATCCAAGGAACATTGCGCTGTACGGTATGCATCCTGAATAGTGCCACTGTGCACTCAAACCCTGACTTAGTGCATTGTCAACACTGTACATACCGCTCTCTCAAGCCAAATAATTCCACATGTACACGTGTGCACAAACAATGAAAAACCTGCAGACGATCAAAGCTTGTGTAAATTCTGAATGTACCCGTCTCACTGGTATAATTTGAACACGTTATGGAAACTCACGTAATCTGTATTTTTATTATCAAAATATCGCCTTTTCGCAAACAAAATGACGGACCGCAAGGACAGACTGTCAGCATTACAGTCTGTCACCAGTGGTACTTAGACCCACGAGACGGCGACGACGAGTAAAGACGACCCCCATGAGGATTACGATTCATTAGAGCATCCCCACCGGCGAGTGTAAAGTGCTAAATATTTTAGAAACTTGGCGAGCCTTGATTGGCCTCTCGCTATTATACACCTTTGCTTTTTTAAGACCTTGCCGAGAACTGCATTGACCTGCAGGTCAACCCCACCGGCAAAAAACCGCACCCTCCTACTTGTGAAGTGCATGCTCCTACTCACTGAAGTCCGATGCAAACGCCTTTACAACCTCCACGGAGTACCATTGGCATCTCTGACTTCGTGGAGGACGACATTCTCGATATTGTTGAGGATGTTTTGTCTTCGGACAGCGACAGTGAGCCCCCAAAACACAAAGGCTCTTATCCGGGGGAAAAGCCAAATCTCGAGCCCAACCCAAAACGAGAGCGAGGTGCGCAACTGCTAGTGACGGCTGTCCCTTCGAAAGACGTACGGTGGCTGCCAGACAAACTTACGTTTGGTGCAGACATGAACAGGATGGGGAGGAGTGTTGGTGGAGACTCGCCTCTCCACTGGAGAGAGAGGCTCAACTTCAAGACCCCTTCAACCAACTTTGACTTCGCGGGAAAATGGAATTTGAACCAATCAGCGTTTGCCACCTCAAATGCATAGTTCTAAATTTTGGTGCTATATTCTCGATTTTTACAACCCGAATTTATCTCGATGTAAAAAGTAATGCATCTTTTCGAAACGGTGGGAGTAGTGAAGAGGGGTGTAAAATATTAAAGTTGTAAAAATTCGTTTTTTTACAACTTTAGACTCACTGGTGGGGATGCTCTTAGAAAATATTGGTCACAGTGGCGCCTCACACCTCGTCCAGCATAATTTGGGTACTGTTCTCAAGGGCTTGGTTTGGGACACTTTGTGCTGTCTCAAAAATATAGTATTTCAAACTTTTAATCCATGATTTTTTACAAACTTCATCATGCCTTCAGAACTGACATTTCTCCAAAGGGCTCAATTTGGGACACATCCATAGCAAGAATCCGAAGTTTATCTCGGAAGCGAGAGTCGCACAAGTGCAGACGCGGCCTCATTACGCGACACAGATCCCTCAACTGTGTGCTCGCGAAATTTTTGTGCGCTTGACCAGCTCAACCACTGACGTATGGGCAGATCTTCAAAAACCGAAGAAAATCGGTCCTCCAGCTCTCTCGGGAACGAGGTGGAGACAGCAAGCATGTTGTTCTCTTTGTCGATGGCTTGAGATCCTCTTTGATTCCCTTTTGATAGCTTTTGGCGCCTCTTGTTTCATCTAAGGGAGCAGTCGGTTTTTTTTTGCTCAAAGACTTCCAGCAAAGTTTTGACTGTCAGGTATTTGGCCTCTTTGCCCGCTTCCAGTGCCCAATTTGGGCGGTTCGAGCGCATTTGAGATCTCTGCGCACCGTTATGGTCTCGCAAAATATGGTTAGTAAAGTACTTCGAACTAATGAGGACAGAAAGTTGAGCAAGAGTGTTCGAGGGTGAAGACGTTTTCTCACACAACTATTTCACACGATGTAGAAGCCTCCTATCCGCCGTTCGCCGTTTCATGCTCTGCAAATCTTGCAACCCGAATTTATCTGTACGAGGAGAGTGGCCAAAGAAGGTTTCGAAAACCATCTCCCGTCCTCTCTCCCTGTGAATTATTACCGTGGCGAATCTATAGTCCATAGGCCACAATACTGCCGTGATGAACGAGTCCTGTATTGCGGCTTCAGATATATCCTTGTACCCTGCTGCGGCCAGTTTCAGCTTGAACGCGACGTTGGCGTACCCGATATGGCAGTTTGCCAATAATTCATCCCTCACACACCGAATCTGCTGCTGGAAAACGAGATTTATTGCTTGGTCGCAAGGTTGTAAAAAACGCCTCGTGTTCGCCGGAAGGCGAACGATTTCTAAGTTGTTCTGGGCACTGTACTCAAGCCATTCGAAGGCATTTCGAGACGCATGTCCATCTAGGAGAAGAAAACAGCCTTGTCAGCACTGACGTGTTGTCGGATGAACGTGTTGATGTGCTGCACCGCGTCCCTTGATGATTTGCCATCAATCCATAGAGCCATTTTCTGTCACACAGATCTTTGTTGACGGCGGGCACCAGTCCGCCTTTGTGAGCCAGTGTAGTGTGTTCGACATATGATGGAAGTTTCGTTCCTGAAAGGATTCCAACCACCTTGACATACTTTTTTTGCCGGAGGCAATTAAAAAAAGGGGTGCAAGAAGTCCAGATGCAGGGGCTGCAATTCCGGCTGTCACATGTTTTCCATGGTCTTTGACGGCCAGTCGCCTCCCTCCGTGATGTGAGGTTGCAGATGTGAATTTTCTAACTCTCTTCCCACATTCTCCAAGCACACTGGTCTCGTCCCAGTTACAGAGTCGTTTGGGGCCTTCAAATATTCCTGGGTGCTTTTTAGCGATTTGAAGAAGAACATCTTTCAATGTTCCCACATGAGCGAAAACCGGGGCGGCCGTCGTTCGATATTTTTGCCTGCATTATTTGCATGGTACGCATGTCCATTGCGGAGCCTTTCTGAGAGGCTTCAACAGGTTACAGATGAGTTCCTCCTCTACATCTTGCAGTACCTTTTTTCGCCCTGCAAAAGGTTGAAGGGGGTCGAGCAGCTTTGTTAGTGTGTCTTTATGACCCCCTTGACATGCCGTTTTTATTCAGTGTACCGTTGAGCGCGAGACGTTAGAAACACGAGACGTCTCCCTAATACTACGATTGGTCTTCAGCAGTTCAAGGGCTGCCTCTCTCCTTTTCTGCTCGTCTTGACGTCGTTGTGACTGTCGCCTGAATGCTGCGGTTTGAGACCGCATTGAAGGCGGTATTGGGCATGAGTGTCTGTGGCGGGTCATGTTTAAAAGTGGCGGGTAGACAGTATGTGAGGGCACGGTATCTTTTGGCGCGATCAGAACTCTTCTCCAGCTCATGTGTGAAAAAACGTGAAAGTATGTTTTGAAAAAAGCTGTCTCAAATTGAGCCCTGTCCCAAATGGAGCCTCTGAGAACGGTACCTCCTCATCGCCCAACTTACCGAAATTGCTGCAAATCCAGTAAGCTTTCCGCCGCAGAGTGCTCTTTTCTCTCCGAGCGAGAGCATAATGAACATTCTTGACCGGTAAAAGCCAAGCTCCTGCCACAGTCCAATCGGAATATCGTTCAATGATCTAGCGAACTCACCCTCCAAAATTGCGCACGATACCACAAACAGTAGCACACCCGTGTTTCTCCCTGCTCGAACCCTCAACTCTCTTATCGCATTTTTGCCCCTACACTCCCCTTCATGAGTATTTACATCGCCTCGCGCACTCTACCATGCTCGCAGCGGAGGCCCACTCATTTTCGAAGTGAGCAAAGCCGCCTCTTGGCCCCGACCGCCATTTTCACGAGCCTTCTGCGTCGCCATTGACCTTTTTAGGGCAGAGATGTGCGTTTTCAGTACGTTGTGTACTTAGTAGTTAGAGTTAAGAACAGAAACGACCCCGCCAAGTGCATGAAACACTGTATTTGAGCCGACTGCCAACTTTTGAATACGTTGCTGCAGCAGAATATGTCGCGTCCTTTCGCTTCTCCAAATTGCTGTCGGTGCTTAAGCGTTTTCGTAATCACTTCTTTGGTTGTTTCATGATACTTTAGCGGTACTTTTGTCCTTTGAAGGTTCTACGAAATGAAGAAATCTGTAGTCCATCGGCAATAATCCGCACGCGACGAAAGATTTTCTTGCGCTGCCAGCAGTGACAGACTAGAATCCTGAAACGCTCAGCTTTATCCTGTTGGCTGTATTTTCCGAAGACATGTGACACATCGCGAGTAGTTTATCCCGTGTTCTTCGAACGGTTTGTTGAAACCTTCTACTGACCAGTTGGTCGAAGAGCTGCAGCATGTGCGTTGTATTCGATGGAAGCCTCATGACGACGATGTTCATCCTTGACAAGCATCTAGCCATTGAATCTCGTTCGTGGAACTGTGCCCGTCCACCAATGAAAGAATAGACCTTCTCGGCTCAGCAAGTTTTCCGAACATGTGCGTTGATATGCGCCACGACTTTTTAAGATTATTTCTTTGTATACTGAACCACACTTTGTGACGTGCAAAGCAGTGTCAGGGGAAAACCATCCTTTCTGACACGACCAATGATGAACCCCTTCCTGGTTCGAGAAATCTTGTTTTTCGAGCGGCTTCTTCCAACTCTGTACCACCTTCTTTCCGGATGCTACCAAAAACAGTGGGGCAATGTTTCCACAAGCTGCAATGTAAATTCCGACAGTATCATGCTGGCCTTAGTCCCTTATACTTCTCCTATCTCCTCCATTGTTAGAAGATGATGAAGCATAACATCTAATTCTGCGTCCATACTCCCATGAAACACATGTTTCGTCCCATTTCCAGATGCGCCGAGGATCCGAAAATAGAGCTGGCTCTTCAGCTTGAACGTTCTTGAGTTCGCGCTCCAAAGTTGCGAAATGCTCGTAAGTTTGAGCTACATGCCGGCCCGTGGGCACGGTTTTGGCAACACGGTGGGATAGGCATCGATTTCGCGCTCGAAAAGCTCTGCTGGTGTCGGCAGAAGGCCCTCCCCTGGTACAACTTGGGGTTCTGCCAGCGCAAATGCGTGCGTGTACGGACGTCATGGTTGTGTTACCTACTGCGAGGCCCTTTAGTGCGGCTTCAAGAGCTCGATCGACAAGGAAGTTTTCCTCGAAGCGGGAACCCACATATCTCGGATCAGGATGGTGCACTTCGGGATCGAGGAGCTTTTCAGGCTCAACGGTAATGGCTGTGTCATCGGCTTTCTTGGTGCGTGTTGCGGTCGTGCGGGAGACATCGTTATTTCGGGATGCGTTTAGGGCTGAATTTTCTTTTTGATACATGGGCAAACCCTTTCCCATCGAACGCGTTCGACTTTCCCTTGGGCGATTCGCTTCTTGGTGGATAGTGTTTGTGTCCGCATGGAGGGCGGCATGTCATTCTAGTGAGAGCGATCAGAGTAGATGGAGGGGCCACGGCAGAGAGCCGTGGAAGTTTGAAGATCTGATGTGGATGTGGGATTGATCCGAGAAGATCGATATCCACTGGAATGTTATTTGAATGGTGCCCAAAATATGCAATTACCCAAATTATACCAGTGAGAAGGGTACCAGAAGGCCGCAAAAACTGCACTACTGCTGTGAAATGGCATTTGGGAATTGGATCGTAAATCGAAGATGGATTGTTTACAACGGATCCAATCCCGATTATTCGTACGAGCTTCCGCGTCTAAGCAGATCCACACCAAAACGCACACACGTGCTATACCTACATCGGACATTTAGATAAACGTGTACAGCATACCGAGTTCTACACCCAACAGCGAACGAGGGCAACAAAAAAGCAATTCGAAGCCATGTCAATGAATGCAACAAGCGTGCAAAAGTTTCAACGAAAAGCAGCCGGGAAACCACAACAAAGCGAGATAAGATGTAACGCAGAAGCGAGGGAATGGAGGTATGGTGGCAGCAACTGGTGACAAACAATGACATTTGCGCCAAACATTAGAGCGCAAGCAACCTCTATGCGGAAGGACGCGAGGCAATGGCAAGACGACAGCAGCAATTTGCAGGCGATTCTGACATAGGCGAGCGCCTATTAAAGTAGAGCAGCATATCAGAGAGAGTGAAAGAACCTGAGAAGAGTGAACTTAGCATCTTCTGTTCATTGCTTGTTTGCCTGTGCCCGTTTCTCCGCGCCACATGCGAAGTGATTTTTCACGCCTACATACACAAAACCACCCAATTGGTCATTTCATATACTCCCAGAACAGATCATGTCTGACCACCTAAAACCTGTACTTTTGCACTTGGCAGATTGCTTTCTACGCTGCAAGTGGCATATTGTCCTCTTCTTGTCCTGGGGCGTGCGCCTCAACTGTTTCAACGGCAGACTGGGGCCGGTGAGGGGTACCGTGGACTGATGAGTGTTAGTTCTGCAGAAGAACAGCGATAACGGTATTTGTGTGGCCTGTCCATGGGACGGGCTGTCACGGGAGCTCGCAACAAAATCGGGCGAGACCGCCAAATGACGGGGCTAGCGGTTGGAATGGGAAACTGTCCGGGCGTTCGGTTCACAGCTCAGGAAACGACCACTGACAGGCAAGCGTCACGGGGGATGTGGATGGAAGAAGTGCATCAGGAACGACAGGGAAAGCACGCCAACAGTTGCAGTCTGGTCTGGTGGTGCATCGTGTCTGCACTTTGATACAAGCGCTTGCATCTCTGAACCGAGAACGGAAAGGGAGAACAGATTGTACCTAAATGATGTAGCCAGGGGTATCACTACGTCCGAGCGCCAGGTAGAATTGTCCGAACTGTGAGAAGCACAAAACAAGGTGGGTACCCTGCACTGGACTCGCAGAGCCATACTGGTGTGTAGGGCAGTATAGCCGGTGGCAGGCTGGGAGCCGATATGGCTCACCATCCGTACGGTCGAAGTTTGAGGATATGAATAAAGGGACGCGTGACTGTCTCTATGTACCTCCACTCCAAATCCCTCTTGTCTACCGGCTGACGGGGACATACGCGCCGTGACAGCGGTGACATTCACAGGTTTTGGGGAAAACCGTAATGTTACTGAAAAGGGCTTGGCGGGGGTTCAGTGCAGTGCAAAAATTGCAGATGTCCGCACTACTGCCGAAAATGTCTGCACCATAGTGCAGACAATAATCAAGCCAACAATTGTACTGTAATTACAATGGCTGACAGTCGCTGTAGCAGCCGATAGACAAGCATATTGTCGCCTCGATCCCATCGTGCAGACACGCTGTGCGTCGTGCGATATGAGGCCCTCGGCAAGCCTCGGTGCTCATATCTGCACTCGGCGCGTGTCTGCACTCGAATCGAGGCGACAACCCCTACTTGTCGTGTCTGCACTCGAATCGAGGCGACAACCCCTACATGTCTTATACCTTCTGGAGGGGCGGTGGCTCCTGGTAGTCTACAGTAGCTGTACCCTTCCCGAATGGGTCAATTTGGGAAAAGGGGTCAATTTGGAAATCTGTTTTGAACAGTATTTCTTACTCGCCCCTCGGTCCCCAACTTGCCCGCCTAAACCTCTTTCAAACTCTCCCACCACTCTGAGGGCGTCCGTGCAGCCCGAAGCCCGCCCAGATTCAAAAACGAGCTCTTTCGCCACGACAGCACGGCATTACTGCCATCTTCCCATGATGGCAATTCCCTGTCCCGCAACAATCTACTCGGCTGCACCCACCGATATGCCGCGCTCTTTGACTACACAAGCCGCTGCTGAGCGCCATCGAGTCGCACGAGACAAAGCAACTGCCCATAGTCGTACCCAAGCAGTCGCATTGCTCAAAAAAGATATACTGCGCTCACAAGCGGTGCGACAAACCGGCGTTTCGAGGGCCACTGTTGACCGCTTGTACTATGCTGTGCAGGCGAAAGATGAATCCCTGCAAGAGAAACTTCTCACCCCATCCATGAATCGGGCAGGGAGGAAGCCAGTCATATCAAGAGACGAATCCGTTATGATCAAGGACCGTATCAAGTATGCCGCCAAGCACGGGTTCGCCATGAGTGTTGAAGATATGAGGAGTGTTATGTACGAAATTGCTTCAGACGGACGGAAGACCTTCCGCACTGACACTGGACTGCCTTCGGCTGATGCTATTCGACACTGGAGAGCTGTTAACAGGGATATAACGTACAGGAACGTCGAGAACAAAGACGTTGCGAAACTTCATGCAGAAAATTATGACCACGTTGCCAGCTTCGCAAAAGTGCTTCGGGATGTCGGGAATGACTTCCCAGGTATTTTTCAGAACCCTCATCGATTGTGGAACCTTGATGAGACGGCGGTTTCATGTGAATATGGGAGGAAAAAGAAGGTGTTTGGAGCAGCAGACACGCACCACGGAGGGTACTCAGCATGCCACGCCTCAAAGATGAATAAGCACATTACTGCTATCATCGCCGTTTCGGCCTCAGGACTAAAGGCCCCCCCTTTTTTCCTTGTATCTGGAAAGAATGTCATGTCTTCTTGGCTGGAACCACTTACTAAAGATGAGATTGTAGAAGAAATCCCAACTCTAGCCTGGTTGAAAAACGCAAAGTGGTGGCCGGATGGCGCGGTCGTCATGACCTCTGAAAATGGTAGCATGGAAAAACGGCTCATCAAGTTCGTGATCGAGCATGTTAACCGCTTCGTGCGCAAGTTCGTTCTAGCAGAAGACGAGTATTGTCTCACGTTGGATGTCCATTCATCCCGTGAAGGATGGCAATGGCTAGAACAGTGCAAGAATTTGAAGTGTGCAGTGGTACAGTCGCCTTCAAACACCACACACTTCTTGCAGCCATGCCATCAACAGATCAACAAATTGTACAAAAGAGCAATAAGAAATGCCAGAGACAACATCGTCAAAGCTACCCATCTCGACACGCGTACTGTTCGGTGTGGTCTGATGGTTGGTACAGCAGCCTTCCACGAGATAACTGTACACTCCATCAAAAAAAGCTTCGAGCGGACCGGTTTGTGGCCTATGGACTATCGCTTCTTGGATCGTTTCTCTAAAGGAAAAGGAAAATTAATTGAGCGACGTTTGGAAAACGGCAGTGTCGCTTCGCGCATCAATGCTGTTGCCCGTCGTCACACGGATAGGGAAACATTTACAAAGATTAAGAGCATTTTTGAGAAGGAAACGTCGCCATGCCTTGCCCTCCGTGCGTCTGAGTACTTGCTACATGGGCGCAAAACTGTTAACAGAGTTTTAATGGAGGCCGTGCAGCCCAAGGCTGCCAGCCGCAAAAAGGTAGAAGCAACTAGAGGCAAGGACCTGTCTGGTGGAACGCCGGCAATTTATTTGACTGTCGATGATCTCATTTTCCGCCGAAGGGAGAAAGAGGGAGCAGCGGTTGTTGCTGCCGAAACGAAGGAGCGAGAAGCTGTCAAAAAGAAGGCACAAAGGCTGCAGAAGAAGCTGCAAAGAGACGCAGAAAAGAAGCAGAAGCGTATCGAAATAGAGACGCGTAAAAAAGAACGGGAAGCCGTTCAAGAGGCGAAGCGACTCGCTGCTTCTGAGCGCAAACGGAAGCGAAACGGCAGCACCGCTTTGCGAAAAGTGGCGAGGCCATGTCTCCAGGATCGTACTCCCGTCCTAACTGTTGGGGAGCAATCTGACTATGATGAGAGCAGTGCCGCGGGCGCACTCTTGGTTCTTGCGACGGAGAAAGGTACATTACCAAATTAACCCATTTCCCTAATTTTGCTTACTGCTGCGGTCCGGAAGGTTAGTGTTAAAGAATTTGATTAATGTCTTCTAGCCAATAAACTGGCCAGCTTTCGGGCTCTTTCATATGGCTGGAAGGCTGTGAACAATCTGTGAAGGTGATTGGTGCTGCCATACACGCGTTGTGGCAAAAAACGAAAGTGGTTTACCAAATTGACCCACTCGGGAAGGGTACGTACTGCTTCCGGCTTCCCGTAGCCTACAGTAACTAAACTTTGACTACTGTGTTTTAACCCACTGACCGGTCGCGCACCACGTGTACAACAATACTAGCTGGTGGCACCTACTGCACATGAGAACTCTCGTGGCCACCTTGCCATGCGCTGACCATGTGTCCAACTGACTTCGTGTCCCACATGTCGGTATACATCTTACTACTGTGGTCAGGCGCGACTCCCGATTCTCGATTCCCGCCCAGTACTGGTGCGGCCATCTTCATTGTGCTACATGCACCTTGGTCGCAGTGAGGGTTCTTGCCCTCGCTTCACGGGCATTGGTACAATCATCTCTCGGTAAGCAGAACCTGCACAAGAGAACACCTTTGATTCCACTTGATGGGTGGTTCCGCCTTTCATAAAATTATCATACCGAGTGTGAGACATCTCTTCTCGTCCCTGGGTTTGATGAGAGACGGAGGTTTCGCCGAGGGAGTACGCGACGCAACCGCGCCGCGCGCGAATTAACCGATACGGACGAGCTCGCGAAAAGGAAGTAGCACACGTGGCCGGCTATGCGCAGTCGCTCCGTGATGCGTAAACGGAGGCCACCGGTAACG